TTGATTGTAAAGGAAGCTGAGTTAAACCAATATGCATATTTTAAAGATATCTTGATTTCAAAATTTGGATATAAGGATATGTTGCTTTGGAAAGGAGACTCTGCTTTTGTTCCCACAGAAAGCCAGAGGCTATGGATTTGTTCCAGATTAAGATACATCAGGTTTGACCAGCCAAGACCCCCTGAAAGGTCTCCGATGACACCATGGCCCAGATGATCCAACATCCAGAATGGTTTGAAGGCCTCTGGCTCAGACGATACACCCTCATGGACTATTCCATAATCCTAAAATTTTCTTTGTGTCCCCATAAGATACAGTGCCCCCCTCCAGCAGGAAGTAGTAAGAGAAGCTACGCCCAAATTTCCAAATTATATGTAATTTTACTTTGTTAAGGTTAAAACCTTCCTTTTTGAAAAAAAAAGGGGGGGGGGAGTGCTGTGGGATGTTCTGTATGTCAAGTGTGTTGCTGATTGGTCAATAAATAAATCAGTGATTGGCCAGTGACCAGGCAGGAAGTATAGGCGGGACATGGAGGAGAAGAATTCTGGAAGTGGAAGGCTGAGTCAGAGACACTGCCAGCTGCCATGATGACAAACAGCATGTGAAGACGCCGGTAAGCCACGAGCCACGTGGCAAGGTATAGATGCTGTGGGATGCTCTGTATGGCAAATGTGTTGCTAATTAGTCAATAAATAAAACACTGATTGGCCATTGACTAGGCAGGAAGTGTAGGCGGGACAAGGAGGAGAATAAAGCTGGGAAGTGGAAGGCTGAGTCAGAGAGACACTGCCAGCTGCCATGATGAGAAACAGCATGTGAAGATGCCAGTAAGCCACGAGCCATGTGGCAAGGTATAGATTAATAGAAATGGATTAATTTAAGCTGTAAGAACAGTTAACAAGAAGCCTGCCACGGCCATACAGTTTGTAACCAATGTAAGTCTCTGTGTTTACTTGGTCGGGTCTGAGTGGCTGTGGGACTGGCAGGTGAGAGAGATTTGGCCTGACTGTGGGCCAGGCAGGAAAACTCTAGCTACATATAGATTTATAGAAATGGATTAATTTAAGCTGTAAGAACAGTTAGCAAGAAGCCTGCCATGGCCATACAGTTTGTAACCAATATAAGTCTCTGTGTTTACTTGGTCGGGTCTGAGTGGCTGTGGGACTGGCAGGTGAGAGAGATTTGTCCTGACTGTGGGCCAGGCAGGAAAACTCTACCTACAAGAGAACAAATTCTACAAAGGGGTTCTCTGACCTCCACATGTGTGCTGTGGCATGTGTACCCCAACACACTCATGCACACACACATATAAATCAAGCACACACATGTTCAATAATAGTAACGATTTTAAAAGTTGATCTGCCTCTTACATCCTTGGACAGTCAAGCCAGTCCACTTTCCGATGTTTCTAGATGACAGGAGCCAAGAAGCAGCGCAGCTCGGTGTTATTCTAGGAAAATGACTCAGTCAACCTACTTTTACAGCCTGTGCAGGGTTCTTGTACACCATGGCCTTTATGGAATCAATGGCAGAAATATTAGCTGTCACTTTCCAACTGACTGGAGCAGCAGGGGCACCACATGTGCCCCGATGGGTCCCCGTTTGTCAGCTTAACACACCATAAAAAATAAAACAGTGACATTCTGCCCTCAGGGTGTGTCACCCCATGCTGAGAGCAGGTTTCAGGGTCCAGGAAGGACATTGAGTGGCTAGAGCCACCGAGGCAGGAGTGGTGTGTGCTTGTCTAACAGTACCTGCCCCCAGTGGGGACTCTCTGTCTGGTTCCCAGGTCACTCAGGCTTTCTTCCATGAGCATGCTGGTCCTGGGGCTGTGACTGAGGGACCGTGAGTCTAGGGCTGGGCTGCAGTGACAGCATTGGGTAAGGGAGGGTGGGTGCTGCCCAGCACCTCACAGATCCTAAGACTTGCTTATTGAATAAATTCACAGAGTCACCAGCTGACTGACTGACCATCCCAGCTCCTGGATAGGATTCCAAATACCTGCTTGCTGGCCTGGAGGGGCATGCCCATGATGGTTAGCAGGGGCCAGGCGGCTGTCCAATCCTGACACCCCATCACCAGGCTGAAGCCAGCAAGGCTTGGGGAGGCCCTTGCTCCTAAGCAGCTGCTCCCCCACCTGACTTCTAGCTACTCTTCTCCCCCCACCCTGACCTCCCTTGGGGTCCCAACTCCAGGTCCCGTTTCAGGCTTCTGGAAATGAGTTGTTTGCAGCGGTGTCTGCTTCCAGACGCATTGATTTTAGCCTTTGTTGTCCTAGCTTCCTGTCAGAACCGGTTATTGCAGGTGATGGATAGGAACTCACCCTGCACTAACCTGCCTCTTAAAAGCTGCCCATGGCAGATGTGGCACACAGCCAATGGCTCAGAGGGGGTTGTGGGGCGTGGGAGGCCTCTCTCTTCGCTCCCCAGGGGGCAGGTGGGCTGTGGACCCAGCAGGCTTGGGTCTAGCTAGCCACCTTTATCCCACGCCTCCTGGTGTGGCAGCCCAGAACCCACCACCTGCTCTGAGGCCTTGTCCAGCCCAGCACCCCCAGCATGAAACTGATGAGCAGACCCTCAGTGGCCCCGCCTCCCTAGCTGTTCTGGAGGCTTCCACGGCTGAGTTTTGTGGTGAGGTGATGGAAGGAGACCAGGGTCTTCCTGAGCTCCCAGCTCCGGTCAGTAGAGGCGTTGGCTGCCCTCCTCAGGTTTGCCCATGTTCCACCCACCCCTCACTTCTGACTTTGCACCCCAGGACAACCCTGAGAACCCGACCAGTGTGGGGCGCTCATGATGTAATCTGCTTGAGGAACTGGCTCACAGGTTTGTCGGGCATTCAAGTATGAATTTGGGGGAACAGGCCCCAGGCTGGAAACACTCAGGAGTAGAGGCTGCAGCTGGAGCCCAGGTATCATCTAGAGGCAGAGTCTCCTCCCGGGAGACCTATCTGGCCCTCGTCTTCCTCCCCCACCCCACAAGCCAGGCCCACCCATCATAGACAGCAGCTCACTCAAAGTCCTTTGGCCAAAAGTTAAGCATATCTGTGAACCATCCTGTCTCCACAGCAGCAGACAGATGTGTTTAAACAAAGATCTGGGCACTGTGGACCAACCATGGAAACAGCTACCTGTATGTGATGCCAAGGTCCTACCCTTTACCAGCAGGGTCTCCAGGCAAGCATTCATGTGGGTTTCCTGAATGCAACAGTTCTGTAGACCCTTCACTATGGGGGATGCCTCTGAACTGGGACCTCCTCCAGAGGCAACTGAGTGGTGAGGTGCAGAGCAGGGATCTGGAGTGCTGGCTGATGTGTGAGGAAGGGGGTCCAGACTTAGGTTCAGCTGTGGCTGTGACTGGTGATCTCGTGAGGCCGTGGTAGAGTGGGTAGCTGTTCTGTCTATGACCTTGAAGCACAGCCCCTAAAGATACAGCAGGTAACTGCTCTACCTGCCTATGACCTTGAAATACATGCCCCTGGGGCATGACCTCGTGGACCCTTTAGAACTGAGATGTACATAGGCAGGTTTCTTCTCTTGCTTGTAGTTTTTGGAGACGGGACTGAGTCAGGCAGCTGGAACAGCATTCCAGAATCTGTGACTATTCTGCTATGTACAGTGAGTTTTCCCCCTAATAAATTCCTTTACCCATTAAACAGACTCCGTGGATTTCTCATTATACCATGGTGTTCTTATCCCTGCAGCTGACAAGGTTGAGGCCAACAGAGGTGCTATGCAGGCTGCAGATGTCCTGCGACTGGGCAGAGGCATTAAGGTGGCAAAGACCTAACTGGAGATCCTGGTGCATCTGGAGCGGCATCAACACCACGCTCCACTTCTGGCCCAGCCTGGCTCACTGTATTTGTTGATGGTAACCGAAAGTCAAAGAAGCTCATCAGTCCAGAAGGTGCCCGAGCTGGGCATCCTCACGTGTGGGCACAGCTGGCTGTCCACTCCCACATCTAACACTACAGCACCAGCAGAAGTACAAGACCCACAACGTCAGAGATCAGGCTGTCCCCAGACAAGGCCATCTGACAACTGCCCTCAATCTGTAGTCTCTGTGACCCCAAGGGCAGGGAAGGGGCTGTGTCCACTCCATCTGTCCACATTCCTGCCTGAGGTGGGGAGTCATGAGAACTGGAGGCTGCTTTGCAGCAGGGCACCTCAGAGCCCAGGCCTCCCCTGGCCCACAGCCCAGCAACCCAACTCTCTCGTCTGCTTCTACACAGTCAAGGCCAGGGCTGTCCCCTGCCCAAGGCAGGACTATGTGGCTAACACTTTCCACACCAAGAGAAGAATATGGTTCTCACCACCCTCCCTAGAGAGAATAGGGGGGAATGAGACATGAGCATCATCTAGTCATAGCTGTGAGTGCTACTCTAGCTCAAGACTCAAGTCCTGCCCCACCTCCAGAGCAGAAGGCAGCCCACCACAGGCCCAGGCATGGAGGAAGCCAGAGAGACAGGGATGTATGAAGGGAGAGAAAGGCTCTCATGGCCTCCCAAGGCTGTGTGGGTCACACCGAAGACAGTCCAAGACAGGAAGCACAGGCTGTAAAAACATTGACCCTCTTAACAGCCGAAGCCTGCGGTCAGGCTGGAACCACTGCAGCTGCAGCCTCAGCATGGGCATGCCAGATGCTGCACTGTGCCTGGAGGACTTCAGGAAAACGGCACATGGCTTCTTTGGACTCTAGGAGCCTCTTTGGTGGAGACAGCTTACAAGCCTGAGTGGACACTGGAGCTGATGGCCAGAAAACACAAATCCCTGAGAAGGAGAAACGTGCACCCAGGGCCTAAGGGCAGCAGGAGCCGTGGCAGACAGTGGCCTGGGACAGACCCTGCTCATCACCACCGCTCAGTGCTGTTTCCTTCTCTCCCAGCAAGATGGGCAGAGACGCCACAGCTCCAGCCTCAGGAGCAGTCTCACAGCTGGAGGGCAGCAGGCCCCAACTCTATCACCCCAGCAGGAGGAAGCCCAGAAAACACCAGAAGAGACTCTGTAGAAGTGAAATGCTTCATTCAATAACTTAAAAAAAGGGATACAAAAGAATTCCAGTATAAAATACATAGCAAATTAAAATATATTATGTTCATACTAAATCTGGTAAGAAAAACATAATTTTATCATTGGGGATGACTTGTACAACACAATTTGTTCTAGACAGTGACGGCCTGAGAGGTGTGAGGAGTAACATAGCCTTGTGTGTGCGTGGGCAGAGTGGGGTCACTGCTGTGGCCACCTAGAGGCCACATTCCCTCACAGGATTAGTCTCAGCTTAGCTGAGGTGTTGTGCCATGACCAGGAACACTGCCTCTCTCCAATCAGCCAGCTCCACAGGCCGCACAGGCCCGTCCTGAGTCATTGCGATGGCAAGGCTAGGAGGGGGGTCTGCAGGGAGGGACACTCAGGAGTGGGCACTGGCCACACAGCTGTCCCCTCACTGGTAGAGCACCTTCACACAGAATGTCTCTTCGTTCTTGTCCTCGTGGTCATTGATGTAAATCAGGATCTCCTCCTGCCCGGTACTGCCACTCGGCCCAAACCTCAGGCCGATGGTGTAGGTCTCTCCTCCTGCCACCTGCAAGAACACAGGAACTTCAGCATTCGCCTGGGCTTCCACCCTTCTGTAGCAGCTTCTAGAACTGTGAGACAGGCCGGCACATGGGTGAAACACTCTCCACCTATGGCACATCCAGGCTGGCTGGAGACCCAGCACCTGGAGTGACAGAGACTGAGGGCCAGGATAGCCCACATAGGCCTAAGGCTGCTGCTGCTGCTTGGTGCCAACTCAGGACTGTGTGGAGGGCTGGGTGGTACCCCTTTCCTAGGCACCACTCTGATGATGGGCAAAGGAATGAGGGATCCCTCAACCCACTAACAGACTGCCCCTCAATAGGCCCCACACTCCCACCCTCCGCTTCCACCCTCACAGTTCAACTACATTTCCTCAGAGGAAATCCACCTGCTGCGGTGACAGTGGAGGGCACAAGGGCCCTGATGTTCACCTGCCACCTGAAGACCTTCCCCGGGGGTGCAAGTGTCCCTAGCTTTCTAGAGCCTGCCAGCTGGAAGCAGGTCTGCTCCTGGGCCCAGCACTATGGCCCCTGCACCCGCCAGCCCTCAAGGCTGACCTGGAAGGACTTCTCCTTGAACTGCAGCAGGTCAGGGCGGTCAGTGTGCAGGTGGTAGGTCCTCCGAGAAGGATACGGGTTGGTGTAGGTGATCCGCTTGCTGGCACCCTTCCCTTCTCCAGCTGCCATGGTGATCTCAAAGGCCTGGGAAGGGAATGGAACAAGAGACACAGGGCCGCTGGCCCAACCTGAGTACTCCTGAGCATAGATGCTCCACTTAGCCGCAGATCCTGGGCTATCCGCCAAGACAGGCCAGCAGCATCCGGGGCCATCCCAGAGGGGCTTGCTCCATCTCACACAGAGCCTGGATCTGGGTAGCTGGGTCCCTGGGCCAAGTAACATCATCCCCCACGAGACAGCGCAGAGGCCCTATGGTGCCTCTGACCCCCACCTCCTGGCCCCACTGTTTATACAGACCTTGGAAATGAGAGGCTGGCGGCAGGAGAGGCATACGAGCCATGACGCCACCAGCTGGTGGTAGTCCATGTCCACCAGGTTGAGATGGACAAAGCGGCTGCCAGCCCTCCTCGGCCTCACGCCCACGTGAAGGTCCTGCACCCCATGAGGCGGTAACATGAAGACACCTGCAGGGTCTGTCTTCAAGGACAAGGGAGAGGTCAGGGCACAGCCCTCTTGCGGTGACGCAGCTCCTGAGAGTCAAGTTTAATAACCCTAAAAGCCTCTGGGGCATGTACTGGTCCCTCATTCTCAACACCACATCCAGCAAAAGGCAGTTTTCATAAAAGGTAGCTCAGTGGGGAGATGTCAAAGCTGCCACCAGCCACCCTGTGCCTCTGCAGGCGGGGCAGGAATGGGCTCAGAGAAGCGAAGAGACCCCCAACTCCACCTCCAAGAAGGGCCATACCTTCAGCTCCTGAGGGTGGGAGGTAAAGGCTCTCACTTTCCTAACAGTCTGTGTCCCCCGTAGGACAAGGGACAGACGGGTCAGCTGTCCTGCGACGCAGGAGACGTCCACACGCTGCAGGGAGTGGAGGCAGACCTGCCATGTCTGCACAGGCTCTGCCAGCCAGCGATCCCTGCAGATGACAGGGGTCATGGACACATCTTAGCGGGGCAGCGTCACGAGAAGAAAGCTCACGGGGAGGGCTCCAGGCCAGCTGGGAGCCAAGCGGCCACAGGGAGAGCTGCAGGAAGCCACACTGGATGGGAACCCTGTGTTCAGGGCTGGGGCTGGCCACCCCTGCCCTAACCTGGAATCTCTCAAGCTGGGGCTATGCAGAGTTTGTCTGTCCCAGGGCACTGCTGAGTTTGGGGATGCTTGAGAAATGCATGTCAGGTGACGAAAATGTGAGCCAAGCCTAAGGACAGTGGGGACCATGGCTGGAGGCCACAAGCCTGAGCTCAGCG